AGACATACAAATACAGTGTAAAACTGATCTCTTTAATTCTATTTGACTGTTAAATAGAAAACTATTATATTGGAATACTATTAATTTCTATGAATAACTAAAAATAGAAAAAGAAAGTAGAAATAGCCCCTCCAAGATTTTTTTTCCTAGCCTAAGCTTATACCTTTAAAAACCAATATAACCAATTTAACCAATCAAATTTCTACCAATTCGTTATGCAGTGTTTACAGAGTAAAAAGGTTAATTTGACGAGGGCGTGTGTTAGACCCTAACAGAAGTGGCTATAAAAGCTAATACAGGAACGGCACAAACGTTTTGCCTTATTTCAAATAGACTGATGGAAATCTAAGAACCTCTTACCAGTAACATTAGTCCAATAGCTCTTAACATTATAGGAGAGAGTAGGGAAAATGTACTACTATTCAAAGCTCCAAGACATTTTGTATTAATCTTATTTTCAATACAACAGCCAAACAAACGTTCTATTAAAAGTTCTGTTAATGGAACCCCTAAAAGATCTCATCAACATAATTATTCTACAAGAGTACATTAAGTTTCCTCAAAATATGACCAAAACTGTAGTTTCAATCTTAACAAGGAGAAATTTTGATGTATTTTTAACAAAAAAACATTCTTAAAAAAGTTGTGAAATCTTCCAAGATCTCAATAGGCTACATAAGCTTAACATACAACGTATGGCAAAATCTGCAAAAGTTTTGTCTCATATTCATTAAAATATTTTTACATACAACTCTTATGTTATTATTGTCTATGTTTTGTACATTGCCTAGGGCAAAGCCCTATATATTGGAGTCTAGAACTATCTAATGAACCTACAAATTAAAATTTTGCAATAGGTCCGAAGTACTGGGATACAACTGAAAGAGCTAAATCCAACACTGATACATGCTGACCAGATTTCCATTTTAGGGGATGATGAGATAGGAGGTGGGAATATGGAATTCCATCGTGGACTGCGTGGTAGAGAACAACAGAGAGGGGGTCAAGATGACGAGAGTGAGAAAATAGGATAGACCCTCGTCTCCCCAGTCTCAGAATGCCCACCTGGTTGAATATTCGAATGTGTGCAACTGCAAGGACCTACCTTTTTAAACCATGTCTCTTATACAGTTGGTCTTCTATGTTTCATTTTGTCCTGAGGCTAATACTTATAAATAAAATCAATACGTCAATTCTTGGAATATTCTGTTATCAATTTTTCTGGTAAGGATGTTTCTAATTCCCTGAATTTATAATAAAGGGACATAACTGATGTGTTTACATGTTTTCTACGCATGGTGAGGGCACGGCCAGGCAATCTGGATTATTATAAATTGATGTTATTTTATAAGGGCAAGGGTGCAGATTGGTATGAATGTATGGACAGTGGATGTTTATTCTTATGACTGACTAATCTATGTATGTTTGATTAGGCTGAATAGTTTTAGCAATGATTTCCTACTTTTAAGACTGGTAATAATAGGCTGTAGATCTGAAAACAAGATCAGTTTAGATGAATGTTGCCTATTGGAATGTCACAATACCCAACTTGCCAGCTTATTGGTTTTTTCACATAAAAAAATGTATAAAACAAGACAATATCTTCAACTCTTTATTCAAGATAATAATCAAAAACAAAACAATATCTTTTTTAAACATATAAAAACTATCCATCACCAACAATGAGTATTTATCCTCCCTCAAAATATAAAATATTTACTTTTATCTAAATTTGCAACTGATCTATATTTTATTCATTATTCATAAAGCATTCATTGTAATCAAATGCATTTCTTCTGTCTTTCACCATTTTCAACTTAAAATTCTGTAAAAAATAGTGTTATATTTAGGCTTAAAAAATTTCGCAAAGTAAAATAGTCTTTTGACATGTATAAAACTTTATAAATGATTGATTTCTATAGGAAAATATTTTGATTGTTAGAATCTTTCACAAAAGAGAGATCTTAATATAATAAGAATATATTTTGAATCATGTACCACACTAATACAACAATTAATGGTAGTATAAATACTGCTAAATTTCTACATCTGAAGTTTATTTAACAGATAACCAAATAGGATTCTCAAGAGCTCAATATTAGCAGTATTATCTGTATCACTATTGTATCAATATATGACATTCTGAGAAATACACAATGAAAGGTCAACAAAAATTATTAAAATCACAGCATTCAAGTGTAATTGTTTTGGTTTTTCTGCATGTTTTAGCAGTAACCTTCAACAACTTTCAACCTTCTTTTGAAATATATACCCTCTAAGTTTGATTTGTATTATGTTTTCCAAGAACAGAAAATTTTTAATTCTGAATAAAACAAAAAGAATCTTTCTTTCATCAACCACTAAATATTGCTATTTACAAGCATAAAAAACAAATCTTGTGAATTTGTATAAATTCTTTTGCCCTTAGATGATTGCAAAACAATAGAAATTTCTACTTGTATGTTCTTTAGACATTGGCTCTGAAAATCGCGTCATTTCATACTAATAAACTGGAAGGACATTTTGATTCCAACAACCATTTGGTACAGAAATAATATCAGCATGCTCAATAATCATTGTTCAACTTTCTTTGTTTACAATAATATTTTGTAAACATTATAATAATATAATGTTTAGACTTGCATTTCAATATTTTCTTTGTATTAGGGTTAAATTCTGTGTTCCGAATGATCAATTTACTGTATTAACAAGAATTTACAGTTTGTTAATACATATTTTCTCTCCTACTCTTAATAAAATGAATGCAATGGAAAAATACTAGGCTTATGAAAGGAAAAGAATAAGTAATAAAGATTGGAATGTACTTTTTCTGACAGGAAAATACAAAAGACTAGGACCTATCTTTTTCTAGAAATCTAAATCATGATAATTTTCCTAGTTCAGCCTTTTTAAATATTTCTGCTGCTGAGAAAATAAAAGAATCTAATATACCAGCTACTGTAAATGTTCCTCCTATAATTGCACAAACCTGAAATAAATATTAAATATTATAATTCCATTGTGTTCTGAAACAAAGCTATATATAAATACTCAGGAATTTACTTAACAGGGAATTTAGTTTCTTTTTTAAATTACACTCGCCATCCATGATCTTACAAAGTAATAAACTTGAAGTGTTTATCCAATCAAATGCTTTGTTTAATAAAAGTAACTGTAACCCCTCTTGTTACAAAGTTTTTGATTGCTTTGTATAAATATTTGATAAACCATCACACTATCAGATGAAGAATTTCATCAGATCGTACATGACAAGTAGACTAACCCACAGAAATACAAGAAACTCAACATCTAGATTTCGACCAGATTAAGA